CCCGAATCATCTCTCATAAATTATCTCAAGTGAAATAACACGTCTATGATATGAGATAATATTTAAGAAAAAGAACAAGGAAATAAAACTTTTTTATTAGTATATAAACTAGTTTTATAGTATTATTTATTTCATATAATTTTATATTTTAGTTTAATTTTTAGAAAATTATATTTTACTTCTTTTTAAAGGTTATCTTATCACACAAAACAAAAACTCTTCATCCATTTAACCAATCAAACTTCCAACAAAGGTGTTACACACCATATCTGGAACTCTCTCGCACAAAGAACCGTAAACCCTTTCTTTAGTTTTTCCACCGAACCTCAACCCATGGCCGCCGCAGCGCCGCCTCCGGCCCCAACTCCGGCTCCGGAGCCCGTCACATCGTTACCGGAAACCACCCCTCTCTTCACGCGCATCCGCCTGGCCACCCCCTCCGACGTTCCACAAATCCACAAACTGATCCACCAGATGGCCGTCTTTGAACGCCTGACTCACCTCTTCTCCGCCACAGAGTCCTCCCTCGCAGCTACCCTTTTCTCCCCAACCGCCCAGCCCTTCCACTCCTTCACCATCTTCCTTCTAGAAGCTTCTCCCAAACCCTTCGCCGTTTCAAACGTGGACTCGAACCCGTTCTTCACACCCCTGACGAAGTTCGTGAATCTGAGTATCCCCATTGAGGACCCCGAGCGAGAGACGTTCAAGACGACGGATGATGTGACGGTTGTGGGGTTTGTGTTATTTTTCCCGAACTACTCAACCTTTCTTGGGAAGCCAGGGTTTTACGTGGAGGATTTGTTCGTGAGGGAGTGTTACAGGAGAAAGGGGTTTGGGAGAATGCTTCTGTCGGCGGTGGCGACACAGGCGGTGAAGATGGGTTACGGGAGGGTGGAGTGGGTGGTGCTCGATTGGAATGTGAATGCCATTAAGTTTTATGAAGAGATGGGTGCCGATCTCTTGAACGAGTGGAGGATTTGCAGGTTAACTGGGGAGGCTCTTCAGGCTTATGGAGGTGCCCATTAGAAATCTTTCTTTCTTTCTTTTCTTTAATAATCACAATATAGGTTTTAGGGAAGGTTTTACTGCCTTAGGAACGACTGTTGTCTTTTTTCAGATCGTGATCGTGTTACTTTGAGTTGTTATGTTGTGATGAAAGTGTTTGATCATGTTTTAGAAGCTCGTGATCTTGTTCTTGGAAGGGAAAGAGTTATGGGTTTGTCCACTGTTGAATTTCTCTTTTGTTCTTCTAACAGACAATGTTAATAACATGTTGTACATTAATCACCGCATTGTTTGGTTTTGAAGTTCATGTCTCTGTCATACCTACCAATTTCCTTTTAAGAAAGTTTTTTGTGGAGTAAGAGTGGCTTCTAACCATATGAGAAACCAAAAGAATGTTTTAGGGGAATTGAGAAATTATGAGTGTATAATGATGATTTAGAGTGACTTTGGTAAAAACGGGTCTTGACATTTCTTAGACAAAGTTAAAATCATGTTGTTTTCTATTGAATGTGAAGTGATGCTTATCTCTAATGTTGTTTTGCCTTTTCTATACATTTCTTTCTCAAGTGTTAGTGTTTGAGGATATTGCAGTTGTTGCTGGTGATTAATTTGAGTTTGTCTGAAGCAAGATTTCATCTTTTGGATATTAAGTTTGGTTCAAGTTCAGTTAAAAAACAAGTTTTTCTCCAGATTGCACCTTTTGGACAAGAGAAGAAAAAGTTCACTCTTCAATGTGATTTAGTCATAGTTTATTTAAGGATTAACTTGACGTTTTAAAAAGATTAATTTGTCATTTAGTTGTATACTAAAGTTTAGAGACCAATTTCTTACTTGTATTTGTTTTTGGGAATGGGTTTCAAAGAGTAAGATCTGAAGAGAAATAAAAAAAAAAGGATGATGAAAGTTAGGGAGTATATAATGATAAAGTAATTCAAATTAAGTTATAAATAATGTAAATTATATTATAATGATGTGTATGAGTAATTATTTAACATGAAAAAAAATTTAGCTTTTTGATAAAAATATACTAAATTTATTCTTCCTGTCAGTGAATATTACGTATAATTTAGTATAATTCTTCCTGTTTCATTTTTTTATTACCCAATAGTACACTCTCACAATTAATTATACGTAATACCAATCATTGTTTCACAGAGAGAATTCTGGGCTAAAATGTTGGTTTTTATATATATACAAGANAGTAATTCTTATAAACTTTACTTCCAAAACTTTATTTCCAAATCCACTTTCAATTACCTCCAAATCCACTCAAACAAACAACACCAAATTTATCCTCCCCTCAAATATCTTAAAATTCATTAAAGAACTCTACCCGAATCATCTCTCATAAATTATCTCAAGTGAAATAACACGTCTATGATATGAGATAATATTTAAGAAAAAGAACAAGGAAATAAAACTTTTTTATTAGTATATAAACTAGTTTTATAGTATTATTTATTTCATATAATTTTATATTTTAGTTTAATTTTTAGAAAATTATATTTTACTTATTTTTAAAGGTTATCTTATCACACAAAACAAAAACTCTTCATCCATTTAACCAATCAAACTTCCAACAAAGGTGTTACACACCATATCTGGAACTCTCTCGCACAAAGAACCGTAAACCCTTTCTTTAGTTTTTCCACCGAACCTCAACCCATGGCCGCCGCAGCGCCGCCTCCGGCCCCAACTCCGGCTCCGGAGCCCGTCACATCGTTACCGGAAACCACCCCTCTCTTCACGCGCATCCGCCTGGCCACCCCCTCCGACGTTCCACAAATCCACAAACTGATCCACCAGATGGCCGTCTTTGAACGCCTGACTCACCTCTTCTCCGCCACAGAGTCCTCCCTCGCAGCTACCCTTTTCTCCCCAACCACCCAGCCCTTCCACTCCTTCACCATCTTCCTTCTAGAAGCTTCTCCCAAACCCTTCGCCGTTTCAAACGTGGACTCGAACCCGTTCTTCACACCCCTGACGAAGTTCGTGAATCTGAGTATCCCCATTGAGGACCCCGAGCGAGAGACGTTCAAGACGACGGATGATGTGACGGTTGTGGGGTTTGTGTTATTTTTCCCGAACTACTCAACCTTTCTTGGGAAGCCAGGGTTTTACGTGGAGGATTTGTTCGTGAGGGAGTGTTACAGGAGAAAGGGGTTTGGGAGAATGCTTCTGTCGGCGGTGGCGACACAGGCGGTGAAGATGGGATACGGGAGGGTGGAGTGGGTGGTGCTCGATTGGAATGTGAATGCCATTAAGTTTTATGAAGAGATGGGTGCCGATCTCTTGAACGAGTGGAGGATTTGCAGGTTAACTGGGGAGGCTCTTCAGGCTTATGGAGGTGCCCATTAGAAATCTTTCTTTCTTTCTTTCTTTTCTTTAATAATCACAATATAGGTTTTAGGGAAGGTTTTACTGCCTTAGGAACGACTGTTGTCTTTTTTCAGATCGTGATCGTGTTACTTTGAGTTGTTATGTTGTGATGAAAGTGTTTGATCATGTTTTAGAAGCTCGTGATCTTGTTCTTGGAAGGGAAAGAGTTATGGGTTTGTCCACTGTTGAATTTCTCTTTTGTTCTTCTAACAGACAATGTTAATAACATGTTGTACATTAATCACCGCATTGTTTGGTTTTGAAGTTCATGTCTCTGTCATACCTACCAATTTCCTTTTAAGAAAGTTTTTTGTGGAGTAAGAGTGGCTTCTAACCATATGAGAAACCAAAAGAATGTTTTAGGGGAATTGAGAAATTATGAGTGTATAATGATGATTTAGAGTGACTTTGGTAAAAACGGGTCTTGACATTTCTTAGACAAAGTTAAAATCATGTTGTTTTCTATTGAATGTGAAGTGATGCTTATCTCTAATGTTGTTTTGCCTTTTCTATACATTTCTTTCTCAAGTGTTAGTGTTTGAGGATATTGCAGTTGTTGCTGGTGATTAATTTGAGTTTGTCTGAAGCAAGATTTCATCTTTTGGATATTAAGTTTGGTTCAAGTTCAGTTAAAAAACAAGTTTTTCTCCAGATTGCACCTTTTGGACAAGAGAAGAAAAAGTTCACTCTTCAATGTGATTTAGTCATAGTTTATTTAAGGATTAACTTGACGTTTTAAAAAGATTAATTTGTCATTTAGTTGTATACTAAAGTTTAGAGACCAATTTCTTACTTGTATTTGTTTTTGGGAATGGGTTTCAAAGAGTAAGATCTGAAGAGAAATAAAAAAAAAAGGATGATGAAAGTTAGGGAGTATATAATGATAAAGTAATTCAAATTAAGTTATAAATAATGTAAATTATATTATAATGATGTGTATGAGTAATTATTTAACATGAAAAAAAATTTAGCTTTTTGATAAAAATATACTAAATTTATTCTTCCTGTCAGTGAATATTACGTATAATTTAGTATAATTCTTCCTGTTTCATTTTTTTATTACCCAATAGTACACTCTCACAATTAATTATACGTAATACCAATCATTGTTTCACAGAGAGAATTCTGGGCTAAAATGTTGGTTTTTATATATATACAACATATGCAGATGATGAAATTAGAGAAATTAGTGAAGATGGTGAAATTGAAGAGATCTTGAATGAACCTTTGCCTCAAGAAGGTGAATATGTCAATGACTCAACTCTTTAGAAAGACAAATTGTTCAAAGGCAAGTGTTTCTGATTTTTTTCAATTGGGGCTACAGTAGGGATGAGAGAGAAAAGGTTGGAGTGAGAGAGATGAAAGAGAAAGGATTGAGAGGAATGAGAGATGTGAGTAAGGGTTTGGGGGGTTTCTTTTTTTTTTTTTTTTAAGTTTTGAGAATGAAAATTATTAAAATACCCTTAACCTTAAAACTTAGAATCCATGATATATAAGGGTATTTTTGTCTACTAAAACTCGGTACACATTGCTAAAATGTACCAACTGAAAAACAGGCGCACGCGTTAGCAAACCTCATATATATATATATATATATATATATATATATATATATATATATATA